GCAGTTTCCACCGTCACCATCGCCGATCCCTGCTTGGGCGACCGGCTCGTCTTCGGGGCTGGTCTACTCCACGGCGCCGGAACACCCGACGCCCTCCCTGCGGTTTGATCACCACTCCAGCTCGACGAACTACGCCCCGGCGCTTCCGGACCCAGCATACGCGCCGGCGGCAACTACGGCTGCCCCCGGGCACGGCGGGCCGACACCCCCTCGCTTCGCCAAACTGGACTTCGCCACCTACGAGGGCACGGAGGACCCCCTCAACTGGCTCAACCAGTGCGAGCAGTTCTTTCGAGGGCAGCGGACGCTCGCTTCGAATCGCACCTGGCTCGCGTCCTATCATCTTCGAGGCGCAACGCAGACCTGGTACTACGCCCTCGAGCAGGACGAGGGCGGCATGCCACCATGGGAGCGCTTCCGGGAACTCTGTCTCCTCCGGTTCGGGCCTCCTATCCGCGGGAGCCGACTGGCGGCCCTCGGCCGCTTACCCTTCACATCCACGGTGCAGGACTACGCCGACCGCTTCCAGGCCCTGGCGTGCCACACGCCGGGCGTCTCCGCAACTCAGCGCGCCGAGTTATTGTGGGCAGTCTACCGGACCATATCCGCGTGGACGTGGAGCTTCGGGGACCCCAGGATCTCCAGTCGGCCATGTATTACGCCCGCGCATTCGAGCGCCGCGCGGTGGCCATCCAGCAGGAATCACCGTCCCAGACTGCTGGGTCGCTACCCGGACCGGATTCCGCGCAGGGTCGGCCTGTGCAGGCTTCTGCGGCACCCCTCGCCGCGACCGCGGGGCGCCCGTTCCGCCGGCTCACCCCAGCTGAGATACTCGAGCGTCGCCGCCAAGGGTTGTGCTTCAACTGCGACGAACCCTACAAGCCCGGCCACGCCTGACCGCGACTCTTCTACCTGGAGGTGGCAGACTACATTCCGGAGGACGCCGTCGCCGCCGACCTGGCCGCCCCAGATGTCGAGAAGGTGTTTGACGCTGGTTGATTACCTCGAAGAGTTCAAGCAAGCGCTTCCCCACCTTACAGCTCGAGGACGAGCTGTTTGTGCAGGCGGGGAGAAGTGTTATGGCCGGCCGGCTTAGGCCCGCAAGTTATCTTAGTTTTTATTTTCAGATTAGGCAAGTTATCTTAGGTTGATTCTTCTACAAGTTATCTAGGATATAAATATAGGTTGTAAGACTCTTTTTGAAGGCAAGCAATAAGAAGAATATTATCTCCTATTGCCCGGCTCCCTGAGGAGCCGGAACCCTAGCCGCCAACAGCCCTAGCCGCCGCCCTTCTCCTAGCCGCGACGGTGCCCTGCCGCCGGCGCGCCCGATCCTCGCCACGTCTCCCTCCATCCTTCCCTTACCACCTACGCCCTAGATCCGGTAGAGTACTTGATCCTACCAGAGCACCATAAGATCCTCCGGCATGTCTGGTGGGTTCAGTGTCTCAAAGCATATAACGCCCTCGAAGCAATCCTGCAAACCCAGCCTGCGCAGAACCTCCTCCGCGTGAACCTTGTCTGAGTTTCTGAATATCTGCAACAAGCTAACAACCAAGTTTTGGTGGATAATGAGACTGTCAGAGTTTATTTTCCAAATCAATTGATCATGTAGGGTGTTATGTTTTGCATTACAAGAACAACTAAACTGTGCAAATTCACGTACTCCCTCCGTTCACTTTTGTAAGTCGTTTTAGACAACTCAAAATAGGTTGTTTTGCACATTGTCTGAAATGTCTTCGAGGTCTTATAAAAGTGAACAGAGAGAGTACTATTTTCTCTCTTTGGAATGGAATGTACAGAAGGGTCCTCAAAACAAGGTCGGGCCTCAGATTATCATATGGCAGTCTACCATGAACATTTGAATGAAATTCATCCTTGTCAAACTCGTAACCTAATGCCTGAGAGAATTTAACAAACAGGGTCGGGCCTCAGATTGCTGCATGGGCCGTGACAAGGATGTCCGGGCTTGGAAACTGGGCTGGGCCGACGCGTACAAGTTTCTTTTCTCCACGGAGTGGGAGGGAGATGTTCTCGCTCTCGTTCGTGATGGAAGTGCGACCGAGCGTTTGCCTCAGGCGCTCGCCGCCGCCGCCTGGAGCTCTCCCGGTGTGTGGAGATGACCGCATCAGCACCCTCCCCGAAGACATGCTCATCCAGATCCTCGTGCGCCTGCGCAGCACCCCCGACGCCGCGCGCACCGGCGTCCTCTCGCGCCGGTGGCGCGGCCTCTGGGCCCGCCTCCCCGATCTCACCTTCCGCGACGTCCCCACCGGCAAGATCGAAGCGGCGCTCGCCGGCGTCGCTCTCCCCGCAGCCGTTTCTCTTCTCGACATCCGTTTCCCGTTTTTTCCGTCCAAGGAGTGGGGCAAGGCCGACGACATCCGCGCCAAGTCGCTGCTGCGCGCCGCCGCGCGGCTCTCACCGGAGGAGCTCGTCTTGGTCCTTCCGCAGTCCTCCGCTGTAAAACCAGGACGTCCCGTCGAGATCGCCATGCCGTGCTTCCGCCGGGCCACATCGATCGAGCTGGACACGTGTCACCTCCGCCTCAAGCCACCAGCTCCCCGTGCTCGAGAGGTTGTCTCTCTCCGGCAACATTGTCGACCTTGGCACGATGATCAGCCGCTGCCCACGTCTACGTGTGCTCAGCGTCACCTTTCGCGACGCCGATCCCGACTCGCTGGAAGCGGCGCTGGCCTCGCTTGAAGCGTCTGCAGCTCTCGGCCTCGTCGTGTCCCTCCTCCGCATCAACTTCACGACTATTCGTAGAAGGTATAGTATTGACGCCGCTAGCTTCGCCTCCTTTCTCGGTGCCATGGCAAGATTCTCTCCCCATGAGCTCGTCCTCACCGACGACAGTTACCATGAATGCTATAATGTCGACCTGCCCAGCTTCCGTCGCACCACGGCGATCGAAATGAGCTTGTACTCTGTCCGCTTCACACTGCTACCGGCGGTCGAGTTCCCCGCCCTCGAGAGGCTGTCCCTCGAGGGTTGCACCATCGTCGACCTTGCCACATTGGTCACCCGATGTCCCCGCCTGCGTGTTCTCAAGGTGATCACGGATAATCATACACACAACGTCGTAGTCCACTCGACGTCGCTAGAGGAGCTTGACCTTGATGCTTATAGAGACAAGGAATGCCGGAGCATTGACATTGTGACTCCGCTGCTTAAGCAACTGAAGCTGAAGGTCCAGGCCGACACAGAAGTAAACATGTCCATCTCGTCGCCAATGGTGGAGAAGGTCTTATTATCACGGTTTTATACACAAGCGCCTCTTTTGTTTGGTTTTTGGTTGCTCCGATGGCTGAGGTTAGTGACGAGAGAGAGCTACAAATACAAAGATGGGGTGCTCAACAACAACAACAACAACAACAATCAAGAAGGCGCCCGTTCACAACTCCCTTGCATTCATGTCTTGATCTTGGACATATCCGCTCATGTAAGTCTCTTATCCGTCTTCGTGCTCATCACTCAATCTATTAGATTTGTCGGATTAGCTAATTTAGGTGCCATGCCTAATAGCTAAAATGTTTTGCAGAATCATTCTTATTTGTATGTAGTGCCGCTTAACTTGGCGCATGAGATGAAGAAACTTCCGATTACCAACTTTTCTACATTGGAGGTAAATCTCAGCACAACAGGGCATGCTTTTGGACCATTGATGTTGTGTCTCCTTGGGATGCATCACATTGAAACAGCTATGCAGAGGCTTAAGGTTAACCTATCAAGGTGGTCGGAGGTAATTCAACATGATGCTTACACATACTAGTTCAAAATACACACATTCTAACGGTTTTCATGTTCTAGATGTCACAAGCATCACAATGTCATGAAAATTGTGATTGTCATGAGCCCAAGAACTGGAGGAGCCAAAGTATCTCCTTGACTCTCCTTGAAGAAGTAGAAATCGACAACTTCAGAGGGGACAGTACTGAGATTGATTTCATCACAATGATATTCAGATGGGCGCCAGTACTTGAAAGAATGACCATCAAATTGGCGTACGACACTAAATAAAGTGACATTGGAGGTTACGTCACGAATATCAGCAATATATGTTTGGCGTATCCTTCGGTTGATTGCTTTATTTATCCCAGTAATGGTGAACTGGTTTGGCGTACCTCCTAGATGCAGGTGGCCGTGTCGGAGTGGTTATCGGGCATGATCAAAATCATGCGGGCTTTGTTTCTTCCAGGCAAGAAATTCTCCTTGGCGCGGCAAGAATGTAATATCATCTGTGGAGAGGATGCAAGCTGTATACTCTTTCTCATCTCTTGCTTAACGTGCTGGAATCTAGCTAGAATATCCCACAGAATGCTTTCCGTACGGGAGATGCAACTATTTGTTAGCTCTGCATTTGGTCATGTCTCATGCTATTTGTTTTGAAACTATATCTAGTTTCCTTAGTGTCTTTCATATTTAGCAAACTGTTAGCAAATATGTAGGATGGTCTTGATGTATTGTCATCGAAGTGTTGATTTACCAGATATAAATTTCCCCTTACTTTTCTTGACGGAGAGAAGATGGCCACTATGACTCCCATGTTCCCTTTAACCGTTGAGGCATTTGTTTCAAGATAGCATTACATGCAAGCAAGTACACAAGGAGTGTAGTCAATAAGTGGGTTTTGCAACAAACAAAAAAGTGTTTATTGACATTCAAGTTTATTGCCCATATGATAATATATGTTTACTCTTGTGCTTTTTCGGGATACTTTGGTATTCCCTCCGTCCAAAAAGCTTGTCCCTCAAATGGATGTATCTAGCACCAAGTTAGTGCTAGATACATCCATTTGAGGAACAAGCTTGAGACAAGCTTTTCCGGACGGAGGGAGTACCTTTTTCACCCTGCACAGGGGAGGCAGCGTTTCTGAGGTGTATCAGCGCATGAAGGTCGAGAATACAATGCTACTTTTTACTAAATAGGTCCATGCTTGGTACCTGTGATACAACATTCCATTCTCCGATGGTAGCCAATCCATTGGGAACACGACGTCAAGCAATAACCGATGTTTCTACCGCGGCAGAAGCAGGAACAGCGTCAAATTCTGACCAGTCGTGGACTTCCCATATCTCGGGCAACGCCTCCTTGATGTTGTGGATGCTCTCCAGTGCATGATCAGCCCCTGGAACGAGTGTTGACCTACCAACCTGCAGCAAATTCACAAGAGTTACAGCTGTAACATTGACCCCGGACTTGGAAGCAGGGCTAGTTTGGAATTATGTGTGACGCAATCTTACAATCACGGTGTGGAAGCCTGCAGCCTTTCCGGTAGCGATATTCCTGGTGCTGTCATCAAAGAAGATCTACAAAGTGGAAGTCGCAAAGTAGCAAACTATCAGGTTTTCATTGCCGGTTAGGAGTGTTCTTGTTCATGTATGAAAGAGGGATTGCTCATACTGTCTTCTTAGGATCAACATTTGCTATCTGAATTGCGGCTTCCATTGATTCAATAGTGGGTTTGCACAGGATGGGTGATTTTGGTCTGCCATCCGATCCGTAGAGATCGTCCAAGTCGGAAGATGGTTCACCAGAGAGCGCCATAGGATCCTCCTGGGACTTGCATAGGCCATTGCTCGTCATGGCTGGTGGATTCAATGTCTCGAAGCATATCACACCCTCAAAGCAGTCCTGCAAACCCAGCCTGCGCAGAACCTCTTCCGCGTGAACCTTGTCCGAGTTTGTAAATATCTGCAACAAGCAAGTTCTCCAAATTAGTAATTGCTAATGCAAGGTGTAATGATTAGAAGAGCAAATAAACTTTGGCAAATTCGCTTACTATTTTTCTTTGTGGAATGGAAAGTAGAAGGGTCCTCAAAACAGAGTCAGGCCTCAGATTGTCATATGGCAGTCTACCATGAACATTTGAATGAAATTCATCGTTTTCAAACTCGTAACCTAATGCCTGCAGAGAACTAACATTCGTATGATTACGGGCCAAAAAACATAAGCTCTTCTGCTAAAAATAATAACTGGATACAAATTGTACCTTAAGACCAGCCATTGTGGTGCCATATTCCCTATAAAGTTCCAGGCACATCTCTGCAATTTGGCTTTCTTCAATTCGCAGATGGTCACGCATGTAATCTGGTAGCCAAAATTTCAATGTTAGTCTCTCCAATCATTTATGAAAACATAAAGATCCATAAAGCAGGAAGATACTAAAAAATGACTTATTATTCACACCTTGAATATTTTTGCGGCAAGCAAGATTGATGCCAGCACTAAGAGGATACAGTGTATCATCCAAATCTGCAATCGCAAATAGTGAACAGCTTTTACTGGAGTGTACAAAACAATAACAAATAATTTAAACAAACAACTCTTCAGATTTATAAAAGCACGGTACGTACCAAATAGCAAGCACTCATACTTAGGAGTGGGACCTTCAACAATAGCAGCCATCTTCTATAGTCAAAAGCAAGGCAGTTGCTAAATGAAATCACACCAATCAGACAGCAACCTGAAAGAACAATAAGCAGTTCATGAGAACATAACAACATAGTCCCCAGGAGATTAACTAAAATAAATTCTGTAGTATACCACATACTCCCTCCGTTCGGAATTACTTGTCTCGAAAATGGATGTGTCTAGAACTAAAATACGTCTATATACATCCATTTCCGCAACAAGTAATTCCGAACGGAGGGAGTACAAAACAAGCACGGCAGGCAAAACAAGTGTTTCCATACAAACAATCAAACTGAAGCAGCCAAACTGTAAACTTCAGTAATCCAGTGTGATAGGAAACATGATAGGAAACTTAATGCTCATGCTGAACCCTTGTCCACATTCTCTTGGTTCTGAAATCAGACAACTCAGCAAAAATATTTTAATGGCTGAACTTTGGTACTAACATCTGATACAAACATTGTAAATTACATCTCGCCAATATTCCCACCCAATGAAAGGCATATTCTGAATTTCTGATATTAACTATGTGGTAATACGTCTACCATGACACCTCAATCCAATATGATTAGTCCAAACCTATACTGACTCCAGCAAACACGAAAAAGAAAATAAAAATATTTGCAGAAAGCCAAAAGATTGGAGATGACAACAAGAGAGTTAGTTACCTCGTGACAATGAACACTGGAAGGCTTGTAATGAGGCAATGAATGATGTTGAGCCTGGTGGATTTGGTGCTATACTTATAGCAGCAGCCCAAGTTGGCAACAGACAGAACAGAACAAATACACAGATGCTTTGATAGACTGATGGCATGATATCCAACATTCGGAATGATCCACAGCCAATTTGATGTCTGTCTCCAACTTTCCATCAAGTCAAGGATGCCATTTTCCTACAGAAGAAAACAGGCTAGTGTTCAAATCTCCAGGCTCTCATGTGCCCACAAGCCAGAACCGCATCCTGGTTCCTACAAAAGTGGCATGAGAATATTTAGCAAGAGCTGGAAGAACCAGAGAATATTACAGCATCTGTATCAAATACCCTGGAATTTTGCATACATGAGGAATATATCCACTTGGCGGTGATTGGTACACTTCCAAGTGTTGTTGTTTCCCAGCCGCCAATGTTGAAGTCATGCAGAATATAAGATATGGCGAATCAGACAACTCCAAGACCCCAACTTAACACATATTTGAGCATATCATGTGGCATAACCAAATGGCATGGATGTCATCAGTCCAAGGCTCCACTTGTTAAGAATCCAATAATAACCCAAATGGAACAGCCAACATCAGAGGTACGTTCCAGTTTTGCGGTTCAAATGATACTTCTCGATTTCCTGAATATCATGAGCATGGAAGGCTAATGTACAACCTCTATGCTCCATGAAAAGATCGTGCAGAATCTGAAAACCTATATGATCAACATAGCTCGCGTTTGAACAAAACATTTACTCCAGTTCGAGATAATGCAAGGAGTAAAAGTATATTTTTTTCAGCGAAAAACACTGGAGCATTGGCAATTTTCCATATTATAGCCAAAAGGCGACCAAATACTTGCCGGTCACCATGGGATACTCTAGCAGGAAGCAGCGTTAGATGTGAATAAGTTGAAGCATTGAAACTAATTTTCTAGATTACAAGACAAGCCTAAATTACAACCATAGCATTCACTTGACACATTCCAAGTGGCCATCTATTCTTCCTGTAGCTTGGTCACAACTTCGCTAGGTAATCTTGAGAACCAAAGCAACTCCAGAATTAGATGAAGGAAAAGGTGGGAGGCTTCACATGAACTCCTGATTGCCTTCCCAGCACCAATGGCTTTGAACTAGAACTACCATATCTGAAACCAGAGCTTGAGCTACTGCATACTTGTACAGCAGTCCTGCTCCTCAGACCTTGTCCTGAAGCACCTAAAACGCACTTGGATTCCTGTTATCCAGTAAAATACGAACGGATAAGATAAGGATCAACATTATAGTGTTTCTTGGTTTTCAGAATTGTACACGACTGTATATTGATATATTCCTATCCAACCAGATAAAATTCAAAACATGCCCAGAAAAATCAGAAAGAAAATTAGGTAATAATCCAACACTCGGACAAATCAGGCCCCATTGACAATCAAATATCTGAAGAGACAATCTACCAACTGAGAACTTGTGTCCATCAAAGTTGCATAAATAATCTGCGACGTGTCATGGAGTTGGCTACATGCATCTGTGTGGGTAAGCCAGGCCAGTGCACAGCAGGTTAACCACATGGGATCGTGGATACGAAGACCGCACGTGTGAGCGGAGTCCAATACACGGATAGATACATTTTGTCTGCACTATTTGTTACTTTGCGTGGCATTTAATTGTTAGCCTTCAATTGTTCAAACAAAAACAAAATTTGCGGGATCAATTGTTCAATTCTAAAGTGTGTTAGCAGATATAGATGAGTCTGAATTGGCTATTATTGTTTGGGACACTAGATAAAAGAGGCTCAACACTTGTTATGGTTTCGGTTTCAAAAGGACATCTTATTACACAAGCAAGAAGAATTTAGCTTCTCCCATCGAAACTTTTCACCCTCAGTTAATGGTACATTTCTCTGTATTATAGTATCCCATCTTCATGGGCTTGCTCACCCCGAGCGGTATTTGCCCCATTCATGAACACCTGTTTCACTGTGCCGCGAGTCCATCTACAGAGAGGGCTCACTTGAACGCAAATAATAATGGACCGCAAGGAAGGAAACAAAAAGGGATGAAGCAGTTGCTCAAACTAATTTGCCGACAAGTTTTCATAAAACCATTCATAATGGACACATCCAATGGTAACTTCCACGGACTGTAGAAATTAAGCAGCACGTAATATTGTACTCCCTCCGTCCGGAAATACTCGTCGGAGGAATAGATGTATCTAGATGTATTTTAGTTCTAGATACATTCATTTTTATGCATTTCTTCGACAAGTATTTCCGGACGGAGGGAGTATGAGAGAGAGAGAGAGAGAGAGATTTATGATGCATTATTTTTTCTGTAAAAAATATGAAACTACCCTACTAAGAAGGAAGGGATGTCAACTTGAACAATGTGAGACAAATAATAAGTCTAGGGGACTAGCACCACACCTTCTCTGTAGATCCTGATAGGTTAGCTACTGGTGTCAAAAGCTTCGCTCTGATACAATAAAAATATTATCTTATAGGTGCATCAATATTTATGAGTTTATCCATGAGATACAAGGGAGATTACACTTACCGCCCTGCTGGGGAATATTTATCGTTAGCAGCCTTTATCTTTTCTACTGCCTAATGAATAAAGATACAAACATTGTGTCAACAAATCAACAATTTTATAATTCAAATTACACGAGATTAAATAAGAGTGCTCAGATGAAATAAAGATGCATTCATGCCTTTTCCACTCGATCAGAACTGAAACTGTTTTCAAATGCCAGGAAATCCAAAAGGCCCTGGAAATAGAAAGCAACTATCAGTTTGTGGAAAAACATGGGCCGTATGATATGAGTTATCAAGCATAACCTCTTTGTCTACTGAGGCCCACTGGAAATCTGGAATTTCTGTACAAACATTAGGTTGCTTAAACAAGGTTCGAACTTCCTGGTAAGGCCAATCTTCTGGAACAGTGTACCTATGGAACATATGAGTGTGTTAAGTAAGACCTAACATTTTAGATTACTTGGAGTACCTCATCAAAACTAGACATAGTTGTCTACTGCAAAGCCCAAGGAATTCAAATTTCTGGTCAAAATTTAAATTTCAGTGCCTCGACATAACTGAGAATTAACTACCACCTTGACATCGGGAGTAATAAATAATTGCCCACTGAAATGTTATGTTATATAAAAAACTACAGTGGATTCATCACAAACTAGTCATCAAAAGTCAAGACATGCAAGACACCAGACAAATCAGCCCCCATTGACGCCATGAATCTGGGGTTGGATGCAAGCAGCAGAAGGCAGGGTCAGAGAGAACAGCAGCACAGGAGCATACAGTGGCATGACATGTGCAGGAACACCACAGTAGCATAGCACCAGAACATAGCTCATGAAGCACCGCGAAATGGCAACAGGAGTACTTCAAGAGTGCAGGATGGTGACAGAAGCTGTTTAGGATGTATGCTAATGGACACAGTGGCCAGATGGTTACATTGAAAGGGCGTATCAGTGTTTTAGCATGCCCAGATGAAAAAACAACATTGAAACATCATTGTTACCATTCAAAATGTGTGCCTGGTGTTCAATTACATAGTTTTCTCAATGAGGAGTTTGATTGCACAATTTAATAGATGGACTGCAAAAAGAGTGTCTTAATACTTTGCTGCCAACATAAAACACTAGCCAGGATAAGCATACCTCTTGTGAAGATTTTGCACAACTTCTTCTATGCAACCATGCTGACGTATGAGTTTCAAGGCTCTTTGTCCCCCAATACCTATTCAACCAAGACCAAAGTCTGACAAACATTAAAATGGTTGTGGATTTTGGACCCATTTTGTTAATGTATAAGGAAGATTTGTCAAGATTCAAAAATGGAAACGACATAAACAGCACCCAATTTCGCTGCACTATAAGCAAAACCAAAATTCAATTGACATTAATTCACTTTTTAGTTAGCAGGAGCATACATTTTAAATCATATATGGTGAACGCAAACAATGTATTATGAATCTGAAGCCTGAGATGTTACACTTCCACAGTTCTGCTGAAGCTAGACTTGGAATTCAGTATATTGTGTCCATGCATGACATGAGCAACTAATAAAGAGAGAAACAGCTTTAACATTTTCAGAGCTGCACAACTTTTAAACAATCATGAAGTGCTACATCATATTGTGGACTCAATCTAATATCAGAAGTGTGTAAGAAAACATATGATGCAGGTACACCTTTAATATTCTCGCAGTAGTCACATCCACTAAGGATACATAAGTCGATGAACTGATCCATTGTGAGTCCAAGTTCCTCCAAAACCTGTCAAATAGTGAAGAGTAGCCATGATACTCGGATGAAAAACAATAGATAAAAACTAGAAGTATTTACCTTTGGCACTTCAAACTCTGTTACAGGAGATTTCTTAAAACTAAGGTCAGTTACATGGCGAAGAAACCTTGGAGCACCGAAAGTCAGTGTGTCCATATCCTCTGAAGCGACAGCATATGCCTGGCACTCACAATAAATTACAGTTAAGTCATGCTACTTGGGTAATGAAGATACAGAGCTCTTACAAAGTCGTTTGTATGTTGCACCTTATGGTTCTTACAAAGTGATGCGCACTGTGCTTCTGCCTCACCTGGTGCCTGCATAATTATTCAGATAAAGTGATTAGGTATATACATACAACAGTAAAGCTCATGAATGCCAGCTAATGTGCTTGCATCTTTGCCATGAAACTGCATGCTGTTCATTTAGAAGAATTTCACTCCATGAGAAGCACAGCCTAATCCAGTTTGTTTTCCTTTCGTGATATTTCCTAAATCACAGGAAACATCTGTTGATTGCCAAAGTATCACTCCAATGTCCCATTTTTTCTATCCTAAGGTCAAGCCTTTCTTTTACGCCTAAGCTGACCTGAATAGACAAGGTTAAGAGAACACCAAACAGATATCCCCACCCACACCCACACACCCACCTCCACACAAAAAAGATAGAGACAAGCAGGGCACTGGTTCATTGCTCAAGGCTTCACATTTTGCGGAGGCTTGCAAGCTGACAGTTTCTAGGCTTAAAACTTAGAATCCTACACTTGACTGAGAAAACATTATCAGCCCACATTTAAGAGAACTTAGATTTGAGGCCTCCCAAGCAGGGTGATTCTTTTCTCTTAAGTGAAAACCTGGTGATTACTTCTTTATGTGCAAAAGATTCTGAATGCTCCATTAAATCTCCTCGGTTGAAAAAGCACATCAATGAGGAAAGTAACTCATCTGCGACTACAATGTACAAAAATATTTGAAGCAACCAATGGATTAAAGCATTAACGATACCTCAACTATAGGGACACCCATCAATCTTAACAGCCTCTTACAGCCATCGTTGTGTTCTTTTGTGATCTGGAAAGAGAAGGAACAAAAAACCTTATCATGTGCTTGGAAACTGGAACCACTTCAGAACATGGTAAAGAATGATATTGAGTTTGCAGACAAAGCTCAAACTGGCAGAATGAATGTTAAGGGTACTTTATCCGAATTAAATCTACACATATACACACGAAATTATTGCCTCCTTCAGTCCTTCCCCAAATTGTAGGACAATTACCTTCACAGTCCTTTTGCTAAATTTTTCAACTGAATCTTCATCTCCAACCTGCAATGCAATTGCCACCTCAGAGGTCCAACAACACAACAAATACAGAAGCATGACGACTAAGGAAGAGGGTTGGACATTCTCGAACTACGGCAAGGAGCAAGTGACCTCAATAGCACTATGAAGATCTTTCGAAGCATCATCCCTCTTCAAAGACCTAATAAGCAGCAAACATATGTCAAAGCATGTGTTGAGACAACAATTAGAGTAAAGAATGGAAGCAATGGAATGGTTCACTGTATACCTCTTAGCTAGTTCCTTTTTCTTCAGGTCAGGTGGCTCACCATCAAACACAAACCTGGCATAAACGTTCAGCAGCTAACCCCTGTCAGTGTCAGTAAGCAAGAAATGAACAGCGACCAACCGGCCACAGAACTGGATCAAACTTACACAGGTTTTATTCCTGCTTCAAGCAATCTTACAGTCCGGTTCAACATGCCTTGCAGATGACTGCAATTTAGAAATAAAAATAAATCATATGAGCTACTCAAATTTGAACTAAAACCACGACGAGTAAATCGGAACGGAGGGAGTACATAATAAACATCATGACTTCAATAACATTTCAGATAAAAAAATGATGGGCAGACAATTTCTGCTTGCCTTGTGACTTCACCGGCCTCATTAGTCAGAACTTCTGTTCCTTTCCTTCCCACCACAACCTAGAGAAATGGGAATCAGTATTATACAGCAGATGAGGCAAGCAGATGGCCTAACCACATGGTTTGGCAAATGCTCCTAAAATACAATAAACAAAGGAGTAACGCAAATGGGGAATAGTTTACCAGCGAATTCTATAAGTTTTACCAATAAGAAACCAATTTTGTAAACATGCTAAGACTAACAGTATTATAAGCATCCCCTTTTTGTCTGACATATGGAAAGCTTGCACCTGGTAACTGCATTGCATACAAGATTTTTTTTTACTGTATTTGTTAATTTACATTCTCAACACTGCAATTTTGCTACTAGCGACACACAAAAAACCAGATGAAAACTGTGTTGGCATATGCTCAAACTTTTGGCAGGCGTCATGGCACGCACAATGCTCCCATGTGAACCAACCAGCCCAAGCGCAATCAATCTCCCAACGGCAGCAAGCATGAAGCAAAACCATTCCCCGGAGTGGAGGAATAGCATCTCCGAACCAATCCGATTGCACGAGTACAATCCGCACAGGACATACGGGAGGGAGGCGGCGAACGACGGCGACTCACCAGGAACTGGTAGATGCTGAGGCTGGCGTCGATGGCGATGACGCGGCCCCGGTAGTCCTCCACGCGCCGCTTCACCGCGGCCCTCGGCGCGTGTTCCGCCAGCAGCTTCGTCAAACCCTAGCGCGCGGAGCGCAGAGACGGAGAGAGAGTGAGGGACGGAGAGGCCACAATCAAGCGAAAACGGGAGCCGCGAACCAGAAACCCGCTGGAGGAGAGTACCTTGATTCCCATTGCGTCGGCGGCGGCCGGCGGCGAGCAACCTCCGACCGTCTCCGCTCCCGCCGCTGCTTGCCCAAGACCCTCTTCCCGCCGCCGGTGAAGTGGATAATAGATTTTTGGGCCTCTCTCTTCTTTCTTTTTTTTCAAGAGGAAGACGACGGCTAGAAACCACCATTCGCCTGTCACTCTAAATAGGCCTGGAAGATTTTAGCTCTTGTTCGTAGGCCCGGCCCATGTACAACCTACAACTAGCTCACGTCTATTGCTAGTCATATGGACATGTCTCTAAAGCTTGTGTTTGGTGTAACGTACCGATGCTGCTGCCCGCTCCTCCTCTGACCAATCCGTCGTTGGCTCCTTCTCAAAGTGTTTCCTCTCTCGGAACGCCTCCACCCAGGACCTCCTCTGGCATGCGCATAGTACTCGCCACGGCAGCCATGCTGGCTGCCAGCATATCCATCAGCTGAAACAGATCATACAAATAAGTTCACAAAACTCACAGCACACAAATCTATCCAAATCGGTTTAAAAACGAAGGGAAAGGGGGTAGGGGATAGGGTGGAAGGGAGCTCACCGAGAAGGACGGGAGATGCTAGCCGGAACCGTGTGGTACGGCTTTGGGTCTCCGTGTGTGCATGCGTTGTAGATGTGCGCGAGGTGAGGATATGGAGAGGATGTGGGAACGCGTTGAGGAGGGACTGGATCGAGATTTATAGGGAGAGGAAGACGGCGAGAGCGGGAGAGAAGCGTGGGGAGGCGTTGGATGCTAGGTCGATCCATGAGAGGCGGCCGATAGTAGCACCAACGAGAGGGAGGGAAGAGGAGACGGCGCCTCGTTGCAAGGGTGAATTAAAGGGAAAGAGGTTCGCGCGAATGAAATCGCTAGGTCAATCCTTCCTTGTTTGTTTTTTCGTCGAGCGTGCAGCAGCTATCTTAGCGGGATATGCAGAAGCCAGACAAACTTTTGCATCTCCCTGTAGTATCTATCCATCTTTTTTTTTGAAGGGTTAATAACTTCCTATATATACTAGAAGAACGCCCGTGCGTTGCAACGGGGCCACATTAACTTTAAGAGTTCAATATTAATATTCTCATACATATCAATCCTTCTTCTCCTTCCATCTGCCACCGAGACAGGGACCTAGACTTTGTGCTGCTCTTATTGATTTCAAATCCAGACGAGATGGGGTGGTGGGAGGGGGGACGAAAAAACCCAGACGAAACAAAGGAGAAGGAGAGCCTCATCAGTAGCATCATGGTGAATTTCAAACCTAGCGTTGTGCTCCGCCCAACGAACATGGACGCCGCCGCCGGCGGCCCGGTGGAGCTCGAACCCGAGAGACTCTGCTGCTTGCTGGGAGGGGTCGGGGAGGGTCGGAGCACATGAGCATTGACGTGAAGACAGAGTAAGCCGGGGAGATTACTGTGCACGCCGCACAGCGACTTGGACCTCGGAGGGCCTTAGCTCTGTCAGGAGGAGGTCCCGAGTTCCTGCCGAGGACAGCCTGACGGGGGAGACGCATGGCCGCTCGCGCTGCCCGCAACGCGACCACGCCCTGCCCTAGGGTTCTGCGACGGCGGCAGCGTCGTCCACAGCCACACCCTCTCTGAGTCCTGCCCTGAACTGGGGTTCTGAGATGGCGGCGGTGGCGGAGGTCTCTGAGGTTGGAGAGGGGCAAGATGTAGGACGGCGGAGGCTGGAGCCTGGAGCGATGGCGGCGTTTCGGGATTGCAGGCAGGGGGACGTGCGAGGTGAGTGTTTTTTTCACCGCTTTATGTTGTGTTGCCTGCACGGATATATAGGAGAACAAATAGGTGGATTATAATTCCTTCCATTGTATAAGTGCTGGGAAAGGAAGCGAGGGACAAAAATCAATCGAGGGGCCTTTAAGAGTAGAGATTAGTTAATTGGATTTTTCTTTAAAGTCTGTTATTTGTTTTCTTAAAATTTATTATATGTTTCCTAAATCAAATTGCATTGATGGGATGGATCGATTGATTTGGATAGTCTATTATTTGTTTCCTTCACATCCATTATATGTTTCCTAAAGCAAATTGCATTGATGAGATGGATCATTTGATTTGGATGGATCGATTGATTTGTTTTCTTAAAATTGGATTTTTTTTTAAGTCTGTTATTTGTTTCCTTAAAATTTATTATATGTTTCCTAAATCAAATTGTATTGATGGGATGGATCGATTAATTTAGATAGTCTATTATTTGTTTCCTTCACATCCATTATATGTTTTCTAAAGCAAATTGCATTGATGAGATGGATCGTTTGATTTGGATGGATCGATTGATTTGTTTCCTTAAAATTGGATTTTTCTTTAAAGTCTGTTATTTGTTTCCTTAAAATTTATTATATGTTTCCTAAATCAAATTGCATTGATGGGAGGGTGACGCATGGAAAGTTATGATCCGTTAAGATTTTTTTCATTGTGTGAGAGGGTGACGCGAAACTAAACCGGTGGGGTAGGGGAGGGACGAAAAAAAACCAGCGAAATGAAACGGGTGGGAGGTGGGAGGAAGTACCAAAGAAGTACCAAAAAAAACCGGGTGAGGTGGGACGAAAAAAAACCTGAAAGCGAGACTACCAACTGCTCCATTAGGAGTAGAGATCAAAAGAGTTGATATGATGCCTTTTGGATGTCTTTTATCAGTTGACTGGAGCACATGGGAATATTATCAGGGAGATTAATAGAAACCACGTGACACAAGTGGTAAGCAATCCAAACAATTCAAAAAAGAAGATTAATAGTATTCCCTACATTCCAAAATAGATGATCCAACTTTATACTACAGTTAGTATAAAGTTGAGTCATCTATTTTGGAACGGAGGGAGTAGGTCTCAACTATTTAATTGTATGTCTTTCTTTGAAGGCCGAGCTGTTAATAGCTACGCCGATATGTTAGCCAAGTTTTCACATTCTCTAGATCAAGGGTGGCATCACTAGTGCAGAACCGGGCAATAGCACCGGTTCGTAAGGCCCTTTAGTGCCGGTTCCATAACCGGCACTAAAGTGTGGGCACTAAAGCCCCCCTCCCCCTTTAGTACCGGTTCAGCACGAACCGGTGGTAAAGGGCAACCACGTGGCACGAGCCAGCTCCGGGGCGCTGGAGCCCTTTAGTACCGCTTGGTAATACCAACCGGTACTATAAGGTTTGGGGGGTTTTTAGTTTTATGATTTCTTTTTTATTTAATTTTGTGTTTTCATTTTAATTCTTTTTCGTTTGCTGGTATTTTACGATACTAAACATTGTACACGTTATATATATATATATATATATATATATATATATATATATATATATATAGAATTTCTAGTAGAACCAATCATGCATATATATATCATCAATGTCTCACAAACCACCATATTAATTAATTCACACATACACAAATGTATAGCTAGCTATATACAATTTCTCCTACATATGCATGTTGCCTTCGGAGCCAGTGGCAGTAGCCTAATTGGTGCCTTCGGAGCACTATGACAATTGGAAGTGGTTTTCATGGGGGCGGTAGCGGGTAATAGTATTCTCCCATCGGATTTATGACCTGGTCGAGCAAAAATCCCGCTATTTCCTCTTGAAGTGCTTCTACGCGCTCCGTTTCTAGGAGCTTCTCCCGCGCCTCTCTGAACTGTTAAGAAGGAGATCAATATGTATGTGTATTAGTTGTGTGACTAGATATCGATAATGGTGTAAAAATTATGAATAGTGTTCTGACAAGCGTACCCATTCCTGTCTTTGAGATCTGCTCCTTTCGGACGCTGTCATGCGAATGTTCTCGCAAACGCAGAATGCACACAGATCAGTCCCCTGCGCCTGCTTCAGGGCCTTTACGAGAATGGAATTTGATCAGATAATAATTAATCAAGCATGATAATTAAAGAGATGGCAGCTAGCTAGCTAGCTAGTACTACTTAATTACTTACCTTGGGTCTTCCCCATTTAAGTTTTTTTTTCCATTCGCCTTCCGTGACGCTGATAAACCTTGCCCAAGCCCTGCCCGTCGACAAAGAAAATGAATAAATGGGTTATTAAATAGTTCATATCATGAAATGACGAACTAAATAGGCCGAGATATATAGTTAATAATGATTGAAATTACCTGTTGACTATCTCAAACAAGATGTTATAGTCAGTTTTAACTTTGAGTAGTGAGTCCAATATTTCAATTGTTCCGTCGTCAACTTTAATGATACACAAGACCCAGTGAAATCTGCATGCACACACGTTTGCATGTCTTAATTAAGCGGGCATATGTAAGCAAAAACATGTAGCTAGCAAGTAGGCAAAAACAGAGAATTTGTAGTGCAAGACAGTGTGACTCACTGGAAGTTGTAAGGAAGTAGTATATCTTCATTGTATTTGAGGCGCTTCAAGAACTCTAGCATGTTGTCCTCTACGTCCTTTTGATGATGTGGATTTATCCGCCATGTGTATTCATTAACGGTGTTTGGGTCAATGAACTCAATGCCATAGCGTCCAGCTTTTCTCATTTCATACATCTTCATCCTGCATAATACCACAGAAAAGAATATAGTGAGGATAATTACAGGTAATGATTGACGATCAAAAGGATCACTACAGCTAGCTTAAGACTTAAATTACAGAAAGAAATCACTTACAGACAATAGCAACTGACGATAGATTTATCGAGTGTGTCTTGATTGTATAACTGAAACAGTTCAGAATACTCAACGGACAGAGCTTTCTCATGGAAGTAATGATCCTCCTTGACATTCACCATGAGGGACAATCGATCTGAAATCTTGGTAATGTTCATGTACCATTGATGCAATTCATACATTCTCGTTGGGAGGTTCTTGACCTTGTCTGGCTCGACCAAAGGTTGGCCCCGGACATATTTCCGTTTTATTTCATCCTCTCTAAGCACAGGCATGGGCTCGATCTCGAGGAGTTGTCCAACATTGATTTTGAGAACTTCAGCCTGCATTATATGGTCCTCCGTTATTACCACATTGCCCATCTCAGGAACGTAAAC